TAACTCGATAATTTGTATGATCAAAATCGAATCAAAATATATTCTATCCAGTTCAATTCACGATATAATTCGATCCAGTTTAGACCGGACCGTTGCCCACCCTAGTCCATCTCCCTAATCAATTCATTTGCTTACTTTATGTTTATGATGCACACCACCATAACGTAAACAGTTGCTTCTGTGCCACACAGGTCATCCTCAACCAAAATTAGTGTGGTGGTTCTGATCAAGATTCTGTGTCAATAATTGGTACTTTAGGTTTAACTTATTACTCACCTAATCCAATCAAGATGCTTCCTTATTAATTAAGTAGTGCTGCCAACTAAGACAAAGTGAAAACTGAAAAGCTGAGTTTTTAATCCATCTGGTTGGTGCGTTCGTGTCAAACAACTATGTGTTCTAAACGATCCTGAATCGATCTTGATCGATGATCTCGAGGTTACTTTTCTTTTAGATCTTGCATAGGAAAAGCATTTTGCTTTGTGGGTTTTGTTTTGTTTCATCACTAACTTTCACTTTAGAGTGGGGTTGAGATTATTTATCATTATTATTTGATATCCTTTACTTCTCCACTAATATTGTATGCTTAAAGGGAAACAAATTGGGATTAGGAAAAAACATATAAAATTACATTTTATATGGTCTAGAAAAGTTATTTGTTTGCTTGTTTGCTTTTTCCTCTCTTGATAATATCCAAGTGGGAAAGAAACCATACCAATGAGTTTGTCTGCCTTGTTGACAAAAAAAAAACTATTGTTCTTTTGATTTCCTTGTGCTTTGTGAACGAAGGAAAAAGAGCTAAAGGTCGATCGGTGGAAAAGTTTTGAAGAAAACAATACATTATTAGAGCATTAACCTCGCTCCATTTGCTTCTTCACAGCAACTTTGGTAAAAATGTAGATTTTGAACGTGAGATATTTCTCAGATTCCTGTATTAATTTACGCTAAAGTACGTATAGCTGATGAAACATACGATTCTTTGATGCTTTTAAACGAGTGGTATTACGTAATGTTTGCTAAATCGTACCGTACCAGTAATCCGACCGGAAAAAACTGTCTATTGGACTTTAATCTTATATCGGATTTTACCTATATGAAACGACTGAACCACGATTTGAACACATACTATCGAACCATTTGCTTAACTTAATTGGTACGACCACCTCCGGTAGGGTTTTGCAATATCTAGTGTAGATCAAGTAGATTGCTTACATAACATAAATATACAAATATAGTCTCAACTCCAAGTTAAAATATATGGACATATATGGGGGCTTCAAACACACACACCATTGTTTACATATTGCCTATTTAGCTACTACTAAAGATAAGAGAGCCCAATAATGAATTCTACAATGCCTCCAAATTTCCTTTCTGTACCCTCGTTGCTGCTTTTGCCAAATCAAAAAAACTTCCATTTCTTGTTCATGTTCCTGTGCTGCTGCACTCTCGCATCATATTCATATGGAAGAAGAGAAGAGAAGAGAAAGAAAGCAAGCTATAGGGAGCCCCATATGGATAAATCGAGACTCGAGAGCATATGGAAAATATCACATGGATTTTTTTTTTCTTCATAAATTGTATTTTGTATATGCATCCCATGTAAAAGCGACGTGACTTTCACCATTTGCCTTTCACTTTTACCCTCTCCACCACCACCAATGTGAGAAAGTGGCAAGATGAATTTACTGCTTTTTTCAGGGGGTAACATCTCTCACGACCAGCCATATTTCCCTTTCATCAGCTGCCAATCCTCTTTTCCCAGGTACGTACCTTTCCTAGCCTCCACCACAAACCGTCAAACCCATCTGTGAACAACCAGCCGATCTCAATAACTCGAAACGAAAACCAATCCATGGGTTTGAAGTTTACAGAGGTCCACCATACTTTGTACTTTAATTAACTGTTAATATTGAGTGTCATGGAAATTCGAACAAACTATCACTTGGCCAAACCAGCTCTGATTCCATGTCAACAACTAATTGATCTCAATAACTCGAATTATTGGGACCAACTGGTTTATTACACCCACCGCACGTGTATATATAGTATATATATCTTAACTTAAAGGCTAAAGCCATTACCCATACTATATATACTTGTCTCTCTCTAGCTATCTAGTGCTAGTTAACTTGCATGGATCACAGGTAAGATTTGTTTTGAATGTATATAAAAAGCCATGGTTGGAAGTACTTCGATTCCTTGGTAATTGAGGTTGATGCCTGTTCCTCCTTTCATAGAGCAACACATGCATCTTCGATGCCTGTTCCACCGTAAGAATATGACACAGAAGCCCCCGAGGCTCTTAACCTTCCAGGCTAGGGATCTCTCCTCTCCTTACCACACTTTCAGGCATACATGGTTCTCTCTATACCTTATCGATCTCTCTGTGATTCTCTTTACAATCACCTAAAACTTATCTTATTTCGTACTAACTTGAACGCTGAAGTATAGATCATGGAGCCACCCCGCGCCTCTCCATAGGAATCCTCCAAATCCGAGAAGATAGAACGAACAGAAGAGTTCGAATGAGAGTCTCCAAACATTCTTGTTATCAACCAAAAAACGATCAACCACGCGTACATATATATACCATTTTCTCAAATTTCTTGCAAGATAAAGATAGTCAGCGTATCCAACACCAACGAACAACGATAATCAACCACATCCGCTTAAATATTTCTCCAAAACTCCTATGACCTATCCCGATCTACTCAAAACGAACTCTAATCTTTGGTATTCCTCATTAAACATCTGGCTAGTGAATTTACTCTCAACAGCTGCACTAAACACATAATAACACATATGACTTAACTAATTTCTTCTTTGGTTTTATGTGTTTTATTAGGTCCACCAGATGTGCCATCCCCTTCTGTCAGCTGGTCTACTACATAACCTGATAGCTAAGCCATAGCTAAGCTTCTATAGCTCCATATTCACAAATTTGGACTTCTCTCTAATCTCTATTGGCCTAGCTAATTATAGCCTATAGAACTGATAAACACTAATGTGGAAGAGATAAGCCTTTAATTTTCTTCTTCTTTCCCCACACAATTCATTACCAGTATTAGCAAAAGATTCCCCTTAAAACTTTCCTTTATTACTATTATGACTAGGGCTGTCCATTTGGTTTTGATTTTTCGGTTTTAACCGAAACCAAACCAATTGGAAAGCTAATGGTTTCGGTTTTTCGGTTTTAAACCAATAAGCAACTTAATGGTTTTGGTTTGGTTAAAACCAATAGAAACCATTAAGAAACCAATAAGAATAATATTATTTATCAACAAATATTTTTTTTGTTTCTTTTGAGCCAACCAATAATTTGTAATGACTATTTATCATTATTATGACATTTATTCAATAAAAAAGGAGGGAAATGGGAATAAATATGAGTGTATGAATACATGTTGGTTTTTTGGTTTTGGTTTTTGAAGATTTGGTTTTTTATTTTGGTTTTTCATGCTTAATGATTTGGTTAACCAAACCAAACCAAATTGACAGCCCTAATTATGACCCACTAAACCCCATCCAAACCAAAAGGACAACATATCCTTAATAAGGCAACTAACCCTATCTTCTGCCCATGATGCTTCAGATTGCAATAATAAGTTAAGGCAAAAACAAAAATTTCAAAGTGGGTTTTGAAAATTGCTTGACTTGGACACCTGCCACCCTCAAGGACTCAACTCAATTGCACAGAAAAGGGCCAAAAACTGAATTGTGTTGAGAAAATTAAATAGGAATTTAACTACTTCCCATTGGTTGGAATCACCTAATTATTCTGATCCCAGCAGCAGGCAGTGAATTGGGCCTTAATTTAGAGCACATACATATTTAATTTTACTATGTAATATTATTGTTATATGTAAAATGCCCCAATTCTGAACACATAGCAGCATGGGCCAATCAAGAGTGATTGTATATATATATGTAGCTGAACACAATTTGGCACTATGTGGCTAGCTGCTGTTCTGTAGAAGAATCAAATATTTAAAAAAAATACATATATATTTCATTTATTTATAAAATTTGGAAAGATGGGTAAAAACAAACAATTCAGTACTCGGTTAGTGTTAATTTGTTAAGTTGATATTCATATTGTCACAGGAAAATTTTGGGTTATAGCTTGTAGTAGTTACACCCAAATATAAATATTTACTTGTTAGCACAAAATAATTCAATTTTGTTCTAGAAGACCAGAAAATCAAGCATATTGTTGTTGTTGTTTTTTTTTTTTAATATTTGATTTTATTAGTTTCCTGATGCATGCATCCTCAGCTACCACTGTGGAGATCCCAACAAAAGGACTGCCAACAGCGAACCCAGAAATTAAATAAGAGATAAAAAAAAATATATAAAGAAACACAGAATTGGTGACAGAGAATGAGAGGGATGTGAAGGTTAAAAAAAACTGCAATGGAGTGATGTCAGAAGCTAGGCACAGAAAGAAAAGAGTGGTTAAAAAATGATGTCATTTAATAAATAAGGTAAAAAAATAAATAAAATTTAACCACATTTATTATTATTTTTCACTGAAATGTAGGAAGAAGAAGTTAAGGTAAAGAAGAGAAGCTAGAAGAAGATCATCTCTTCAATGCTCCCAACAGGAAGAACTATCATCATTGACATATAGAAAGGAAAGTTTTGGGTATCTTCTCTGCCAAAAATTCCCACCCCACAATGTTACAATTTTTCTTTTTGTAAATAATAATAACTACCCATCATTTAAAAATGCATTCTCTTATCATTAGGTTTCCAGATTTGAAAATGGAATGTGAAAAATATCAAAATATGTATAAATAAAAAACACTTCTGTTGTTGCCCTTTGTCTTTCACTGTTTTGATTGAGCCATCAGAGTTCTAGTTAAGTGTTGATCCAAAGGGAACTTACCTCAAATTCTGCTATAGCCCTACTGCATCTGCATGGCTGCTGCAGCAAAGCTATATAGATCTCTCCTTTCTATTATATATTGGATCATTTGTCAAAAAAAAAAAATATTATATATTGGATCCTTCTGATGCAGAATTTAATAAGTGGGGCTGTTAAAAAAATGACACAGAAGTCACTCAAATTATCCATAACCCCCCACTTCATCACCCAATTTCTTGCAGAATTCATGGAAGATGAAGAGAACCCACATCCAAAAATCAAAAACCAAGACGAACCCACATCTCGAATCAGTGAAATTACCAACAGAAATGCAAAAAGGTGAAACCTTTTTTATCACCCCCACCACAGTAAAAAGTGAAGGTGGGAAAAAACTTACTGGTAAGATGAGAGCTCAGTAATTTTTACCATGGCAGTTTGGTGGGAAGCTAGCTAGCTAGCTCATGAATTAAGCCCAGAGAGTGACATGTTCTCCCACAGCTTTCTTGAGCTCTCCCCGGCCATGGAAATCATTATCATGCTCCAGTAATAGTGGGGAATATTTGAAGGGTAATATAGGCAGAGGGAAAGTTCAAGAAAGCTGTGGAATAGCATGGCACGGGCTTTGGATTGGTGAATTTCCCTCGATGAACAGTAAAATAACCAGAGATTTTCATTTGGGTTTTCCTCTGTTGGGAGGTAAGGAGAAGATGAACAGAGAAAGATAAGAGAAAGAGAGGTGCAAAGAGAAGAAGAGAGTGTAGGCTGCTGAGAGAGAGAGAGGGAGATAGGGCACTGGCAGAGGAAGTGGGAGGTTGAGAAAGTTTTGTAGGGTTAACTTCCTCTCCCCAATTTTTGAATTTCTTATTTATGTGGGTGGTAGCTAGAAATTTCCCACCCTTTTTTACTTGTCTCAACAACCAAAGATACAAAATTGAGATAGGAAAAAGATTTCTACCTTTTTACTAGCGGCGCTACGAATGAGTGCACGATATGGATTGCTCCGGAAAATATGTATTGAATTATTTGAAAATATGAAAGAGTTTCTTGCTATCGATATATTTGGTATAGGACTGATGATTTTAAGCTTAAGAAACAAGTATGATTATGTTATCTAGTTCCTTCGCTAAAATTTGTGTTCATGTGCATTTATATGTTCTGATAGGGTTAAGGAATGCTTACTAATTATGTTCTTATATGGACATTGCTAAACATGAATAAATCGACATAGTAAAGTAACGTTTATGTAAAAAAAATTAGGATAGCAAGTTTGTTAACCCAATATAGAAAAATAACTAAAAGTATCATTTATTGACAAAGTCAGAAATTATAGTGAGGAGTTCGGGTTGAAGATAACAAATCGCCCCCAATTTTTATGGTGTCTCGATATATGAATACACATATTATAACCTTAAATAACAAATTGGGTGATTGTATTTGTAGCCATCATGAACTACACGTAACTCCATATTAATAGCACCACCTTAAATTATAATTGGTACATGACTAATACATAGGATCCCACCTCCAATTGTACTAGCTTCAAAGTGTTTATTATTTAATTATATCACCATATACATTCGTGCATACGTTACTTTGACTTGGGTGTGAAGAAAAGAGGTTGGAACTTGGAGAGACTTGGGATTTGGAATGGAGTAGCTAGTAGTCCCACAAAATTCCAGCACACATACCTAGCCAGATTATAAGGGTATTGACTGATGTATGTTGACAATGTTTTTGGACTTATTCAACTTAACTATAACTATACCCTCACAAGAAATTTCCCCCATTTACATGCTCCTAAAGAAGGGTCCTTATTGAAATGATGAGATCCATATTATAATTGGAACTTTGAGATCTAGATATATGTTAAAATTCGCTAATAATATCGTTTAGATCGAACTCTCGGTCACGACCTGACATCATTTTTACTTATAAGAGTAACAAATAATTACCAAGGGACACAATGGAGGGCAACCCCATCCCCATGCACATGGTGGCATGTGCATGATATAACAAAGATCTCTTCTCATTATATGGAACCAAAGGTATGGGTTTGTTTATGGTCCCCAATCCCCTCATGTTGTTTCTTTACTAATAATGTAATAATAGTAGCTAGTGTGATTAATTATTGTCCATGTTGGATGATTTGTTTTAATTATATTTATCGGTATCCCAAAATATGGCGATCAATATATGTAAAGGTCTTGCTTTAGAGTGTTGAGATACTGTGTCCAGAGGCATTATTACATCATTGGAAAGTTTTCATAGGTTATATTTACATGCATATCTCTTCTGTCGAGACTCGAGAACACACTGAAAAGTGATAGGACGAACACTATAGGCTCAATCTTCCTCCAATATCTGGGTTTAATCCTAAGAAGTTGACACAATCTCTTGTTCGTAGCATACATCATCACCCAAAATTCTGGTTTCGTCATCGGATCATGTGAAAAAAAGAAAGGAGTGAGAATGAGAGAGAGGTTAATCTTTGATCTACATATGTATAGTTACAACATATATTTGCCATTGATAAGTTATACATGAGGCTAACATGTTGGGATATATTTGCAAGTTGCTTGGAGGTGGGGGCACTCTGTATTTTATTTTTCTTAATAACTTGAACTTTTTGTGCATTTAATTTACATTTATTACCATATAATTTGGAAAGAGGGGTGGGAGAGGAAAAGAACAAAGGAAACAGAAAATGAGAGAGGGATAACATAAAGATATTATGATCACATGATGATATATATATGCTGTAATGTTAATTAGTGGCAAGTGGGCCTTCATAAGCTGATGTTGGGTTGTGGACCCCTTTTCATCCCTCAATATCGGGCCCAATAACCATTTAGTTTAGAATGCAACCAAGGCTCTCCGCTTTTGGTCCAGCACAAGCCGACGGGAGCCGTTTTTCATCTTCGGCCCAGTCTGGTTGGGTTCTGGTCTTCTGGACTCTAGAAGTACGCTTGCACATTGGGGGTGGCAAGTTGCAACAGATTCAGGTCGAGAATTTTTGTTGACAATGTTTAAGAAACCCTAACGTATTGGGCGGTCGAACTGAGAATACCGAATTGAAAAGACTCCTTTTTTTTTTTTGACAAAAGATAATCATATATTGATATCAAGAAAGGTAACCTTACATCCTGGAATTCAGCCAGGCCTGAAAATTATAATAGCGACAAGTAGACGGGTACAAAGCAAGGGCCTTTCTAGCCACCACATGGGCTACCATATTGTTCCTCCGACCTACAAACCGCACACTAAACCCAGTATTCTGCATCAAACAAGCCCGGATCTCCTCCAAAATCATCCCAATCCTACTATCTCTTGTGTCAGCTCGATTGATTTTCTCGACGATAACCTTGGCATCTCCTTCAAACCTCACCTCCTGAAGACCATTGGCTACACACCACAAAATAGCTTCACGTAGGACAAGCGCTTCCACCACCAACGGATCATCAATAGACGCAAACTGAATCCCCTTAGCCCGAAGGATTACACGCTGAGGATCCAAGAGCACCAACCACCCGCAGAGTGGGACCCAGCCCTTGTAGCTCCATCCCACATACAAACCATCGAGGGGCCCCACTCCAAGCCCGGTGAAGGGGGGACAGAGCGCAGACCCTGCCCCACCCTATCAGAAGACACTCGTTCCCACTCCGCACACTGTTGTTGAATTTGGCGCATCAAGGCAGGGAAGCCAACCTGCTTACCTTCAAAGACAACCCAATTTCTCGATTTCCAAATTCGCCACAAAACCGCCACCACCATCATGATAATCGGAGGTTGGTGGATCAAGGCGAACAGCCGTTTAAGGAACAAAGGAAAGGTATGGCGAGGAAGGGCCTGACCCAGATGTTCAAGGCCAGAGTAGTCCCATAAAGCCCGAGCCACCGGACACTCCAAGAATAAATGCTCCATAGTTTCCGAGGCCGCCCAACAAACCGGACAGCGAGGGAGGACCGGAACACTTCTCTCAATGAGACCTTCGGTGGTAGGGAGGATGCGATTGAAAAGACTCCCTAGGGTCTGTGTTTTTAGAAAATTACAAACTAATTTCTTGTTCGTAGGAATCATTTATGTGTACCAAGATTGGACCGTGCTAGTTATATATAGAAGTCTTTAATCAAAGACATTTTCTTCCTTTGCGGATCTTTGAATTGGACTGATTGAACACCACCATTGAGGTGTAGCCATGGTTCCAATTGTAATAAATCGATTTGTCTTAATCACTTTCTTCCACGTTCCTTCAAAATAAATGTCAGTTTAATGTGTTTGCAGTTTACCCTCGCATGTCATATCATATCATACTTTACCTTATAAAAATACACAAATCATACTATCATGTAATAAATCAATTAATCACAATAACCTGAGTTTATTTAAAAAAAATGTTGATATAGATCTAATATCCCTCCCTAGTTTCTTCCATATGAGAAAAAAGAAGAGTAGAAACTACCAAGTACCAAGAGCTACTAACACCAAAGTCCTTTATTAGGTCAAAGAAAGTCAAATCTCTTTCACAGACCAAGAAATGAAGTACACGTAGCACCGCCAACACGGGATCGAAATTTCGGTTGCAGTTAATACGGGTTCACGCGTTTTCGTGCGTGGGGGAGCGAATAAAATAGAAATTTGTTGCTGTCGGTTGGGCCGCAGGCCCACGATACCAAATACAACGCGTTATTATTCTCCCACTTCATACCTTCTTCATCTTTCCTCCCTCTTCCAACGGAAAAAAAAAAAAACAAACGACTCCTTTCTTTCCCTCTCCCTCTCTCTGTTTTCTCCTTGCTCTCTCTGCTTCCACCTTTCCCGGAGCGAGCGAAAATCCAGCCGGAGAAAGAAAAACAAAAAAATGATCGCCGCCGCCGCGCTGTTACTCCTGCTCCTCTTCCTCGCCAGAATCTTCAACCTCAACTCTTACTTCCCTTCCAAGAAGCTCCGCGCCTGGCTCCACTCCCTCTTCCTCCAGCTCAAATCCGCTCCTCCTCCTCCTCCTCCTCCTCCCCCGCCGCCGCCGCAGCAGCAATCCGAGCCTGCTACTCCTCCTCCAGCTGCACCTGTGGTTGATCGCAGTAATAATGATGCGGACGAGGAGATGGCGAGCGTGTTCGCGACGTTCGACAAGAACGGCGACGGGTTCATCACGAAGCAGGAGCTGAAGGAGTCATTGAAGAACATCCGGATCTCCGTGACCGAGGCGGAGGCGGAGGAGATGGTGGCGAAGGTGGATTCCAACGGCGACGGGCTGATTGACTTCGAGGAGTTCAAGATCCTCTGCCGCACCATGGGCGGCGCGGGAGAGGGAGAGGCGAGGGCGTCAGATCTGGAGGCGGAGGAAATCAAAATTGACAGCGGCGGCTTCGGAGGAGATGAATTGAGAGATGCGTTCGAGGTGTTCGACCGGGATCGGGACGGGCTGATCACGGTGGAGGAGCTGGGGTCGGTGCTGTCGTCGCTGGGATTGAAGGAAGGGAAGCGGATGGAGGACTGCAAGGAGATGATCCGGAAGGTAGATGCCGACGGCGACGGGATGGTGAACTTCGATGAGTTCAGGACGATGATGAGGAACGGCGGCGGTAAGCTCCTTCCGGTGTTCTGATTCATTCATTCATCGAGCCGTTGCGAGGGGAAGAAATTGAAGGTCAAGAGGGAGGAGTTGTTTACTTGATTTCACCATCTGTGGTATTCTAAAGCTACAAATTGAGAATGTTAGAATTACTATATGTTTGTTCTTTTGTTCATTTACATGGAAAGTAGAAATAGGATTTGGTAGTTAAATTGGGGGATGGAGTTTAGTGTTTGATGTCTTTTGGCCTCGTTTTAGCCTTTTTCCCCCTCCTCATTGTACAAATAGCAAAGCTTGGTAACAATGGCGTCTTTGTTTGCTCCTCCATTCGATTCGAACTTTGAAGTTAAACAAAGTTAATTAAATAAAAGAAATACTAAGATCGAGGATTTGCGGGTAAATCTTTGTATAGTTTGTATTGTTATATTTTTCCATTCTTTTCAAGGAGAAGTGGAGACTGCAAACATTTTAAGTATTTTGTTGAGTGACTATGTTCTACCGCGGGTTTGTGATACGATCTATAATATGACAGGCCATAAGTGAAGTGTCCTGCAACTCCATTAGGAAGGTTCGTGACTCAATGAAATCGAATCATGTACAAGAATTTAATCTCGTAAACCCCACGATTTGGTGAAATCGCTCACAAGAGATGAAGAGTGAGGGGGAATAATGAAGCCAAAATTAGTGCCTAACGAATATCTTAAGGGCCTGCACTAAAAAAAAGTTCCAAATTTCAATTTGGATGTCCCTTCACATCCACATTCCAAATGGGATAAGTTGGCTCACAAGTAAAGCATCAATTTCAAGTTCACAACTTTGCAACTTAATCACCGAATAAGTCCACTCATTAAGTTAGTGGGAGAATCTTTCCAATTAGATTAATCCACTACTCATAAACACAATTAGATTAATCCACCAATCACCAATCACCACTAATCAATTATCTCTTAGTTAGACGTATCAAGGGTCAAAATCATGGCGCAAAATCAGAATGGGCTTTGACAGATCTAGGGCATCCATAAACACATCTATAGGGGGAAACGTATCAATCTACAAGCGAAAGAATCAAAGCATGAGCACCAACCACTTGTTGTGGAGCAGATAGGACACCCTAGCAAAGCCAGGGGAGAATCGACTGGTCCAGTTGTTAAGAGAGTTCGCTCATATTGCTCGAAATACAGATCAGGGCAAGTCAACTTATTAGGTAAATCTAAGACCTTGTGTAAAATAAACCGATGAGGGTTTATGATACTATTCAAATAAGAAACTAATATGTCTGAAGTTTATATATGATTCAACACACTTAAAAAAACTATAATTGTAAACAAAGTACAGACATAAATGAGCTACACACCCCCAAGCACATCCCAGAGGCTTGATAACTGATAGGCCTTCCACAAGTTTCAATCTTGGCCAACCTTTTAGGAAAAGAATCAAAGTAAGAACTGAAAGCTGTGCAAGACAAACGCCAAACTATAAAAACATACTTGCAGGGCATCGGGGGGGAATGTCTGTTTAGATATTATGTATGCTTCAGCAAGTTGTATGTATGCTCAATTAGAAGACATCGGGATGGAACCGCCCGGGGATCGAGCTGCTTTGCTGAGCCTGCTTCAGGTGCATCGTCAATGCATAATTGTTCACCTGCCAGAGAATTACAACCCCATTTGTGGAAAAAGGAATCAGAAGAAAGCAGTTGTGCATACTCCTAATCTAGATCTAGCTATATGAAGTTACACAAACCTCCAAGGTTCTTAATTGGTCCTGATATTGAGCCACCAGCTGCTTCAAGTGCTGCAGTTCCTGGTTCCTGTCATCAAACTCTTTCTGCCGCTCATGTTGAATTGTTACAGCTCGCTTGAGAATGGTGTTCTCGTGTATGAGTAATTGGACTTGCTCCTTCAACTTCAGGTTTTCCTAAGAATCCGATGCGAATCATCAACATATCAGAGAGCCAGGGAAGTCATTTGAGCTTTAACCGTTTGTTGTGCACACAGTTACTACAAGAAAAGAGAACAAGAGAGGAGGAAAATTGAAGGGGATGGAGGGATGAGTTATCAAAGTAACTAACCAATTGAAAGTTTTTCACTGCTTCTGCACCTGCACGTGCATAGATTGATTTCTCGAGAGCTTCCAGTGCCCTTGATGCTCGTGCTTTGGCATCATCCATGTTGGAAGCACTAGTCATTTCTCTAACAAACAGCTCAACCCACTCTGCACCATCCATTTGAACATTTGATGGAAATGAAGGATCCTCAGCTGGGGGAAGCGCAGGATTGGTAGATTCAACGCCTGAAATGAAGTCGGCCAATAAAAAAAATCAGAGCTAGTAAATCAAGCATTACAAATTACTAGTCCACCGTAGCAATAAGCATCTGCTTATGTATGTCACAAATGGTTTTCATTGTCTGAACATGTCTGGTCTCATGAAAGTTAGAAGTCATATAACGGAAGCCAGCAGATATAGTCTGAGGAGAAAACAGCAGTGGCTGTGAACCAGATGCAAAATATAAGCCAGACACCAACAAGAAAAATGCATTTTGCAACTGCTTAAGAACAGTCCTAATAAACAGAACTAATACGATACGGAGCTTAAAACAGACACCCAAACTTCTCCATAGAACATAGGCAAAAACACTATGGTTCATGTCTCCTGATTCCCTTGCCTACTAGGGCGAGGGAAGAAGATTTGCAAATAACGAAAATGAACTAGTAATGAACAAACTATTCGATCGTAAAGCCCGACGAGTTAAATGAGTGCTGGTTCAGATTGAACACATTCACATTCAGACCAATATGCATCAAACTGAAACCAAAGTCTTCCTCTTTCATGATCACATCTCCTTGCAAAGAGCAGTACAGAACCATACAACAACATTCACATCTATACCATTGTACAGAGTTCAATTTAAGCCAAGAATTCTATTCTCAGACGCTGACAAAAGTTCGGAAAAAACATTACCTTGAACATTGCCATTAGCATCAAGGAGTCCATCACATTTCCCACCATCAGAATCTAAATTCTTATCAGCCGATCCTAAACGGAGCTCATTCAAGCTCCTTATGGCTGAATCCAAATCCTCCCCACATTCGGCAAGTGCTCTCTCAAGAAGCTACAAAACAAAAACATCGGAATGGGCAACCAAAATTGGGCCGCGTCACCTACCATCCCTAAATCGAAACGCTACATATTCCAACCATCAACAACCAATCCAGCCACCCAATGACAACAAATAAAAAAAAGTTACCTCCTTGTCCATCTCAGGGAAAATAGCGGCGAGCTGTTCGACCAAATGCGCAGAAGCCGAGCTGACGACAGGGGCCCGCGGCGGGGTGGAGAAGCTGCTGGCTGGGCTGGGTCTCGGAGGCGAGAAACGGACAGGGGAAGACGAAGAACAACGGATTCTCTTGTTAACAGGCGGGCTTGTCACATTCAACTCTTCGAAGAAGGATCTCTTCCCGCACACTATCGCAGACATAGTTTCTGATCGAATCCTCTCTTCTCTCTTCTTCCTATCTCTCTCGCTATTCCCCCTTCCACACCTCTAATCTAATCCTACCTCCAATCCCTTCGTCCCGATCATGCAGCAAAAAGATCCAATCCCTAAATTTACCAGCAAACAGAACAACGATTTCACACAAATCGAAAACTACCTATCTCGCGATGAACAATAACTTAACGGATTCGATTCAAATCGGAAGCAATCGGGGAAGCGTCGAATTAGGGTTTTTCGTTCTGGGAATTGGGTGCTTGGCTGCCGAGGAAGGAAAAGGGGAAAGGTTGCATCGTTTCGTTTTCTTCCTATCTGAATCGGGGCCAACCGCCCTATGATTCGAAAAGTTTCGCGAAATCCACAGCGGAGGCGAAACGGTGCCGTCGCGGCTGGGGATTGGTGAAAAGGCGCGGGTTATCCACGTAACGTTAGGAATATCGACAAATTCGTGGAGCGGCAACGGCTTGTCTGCTTGTCACGTGGCGGGCACTGGTTGGATAATTTAAAAAATATTGTGATCGTTTCTGGTTGGGCCGGGCCTAAGGGGTGGATTTGCTGTCGCTTGATTCAGCGAGCTGCGGGCTTTTCTACACCATGGATTTTGGGCCATCAATATCCATAAGGAAATATTTTTTGTTTGACCTGATACAGTGCTACGAAAGGAGGGTTGCGAGTAGATAGGAAGTCCGTCATGAAAATATCATGATTCATGAAATCGTACTGAAAAAGTCAGCGGTATGATATTTTATGATAAAATCGTGGTTTAACCGTAAATCAATCGTTAGACCGTTAAATACCGCCTACCGGTTTAACCTCCGATACTGGTATTTCGTGGTTGAACCGCCGGTACAGTACGATTTCATGGACCTAATTTGTGTCCTTGTAAATACAAGTTTTTCGTCAAAAAAGTTGTAAATACAAGTTGAAATGCATCCAAACTTTCGTTTATAAGGAAAATGATCGAGATTGTATCGTGCAAACTAGCGACAATCATTGACGTACAAGTATAATGTACAAGTATAATGTACAAGTATAATGTACAAGTATCAAGTGTTAGATTCGGAAAATGAATGTATTGATGAAAATAAATCTTTGAATTTAATGGCTGGATTTGTTACCTTTTGAAGAATTTATTATTTGTACAAATTTGATATGGATTAATAATCACCAAGAATTTAATCCCTTCAACTAAATCCCAACATAACTATACTCCATTTTCTTGATTAGATTTTGATCGAACCAACATCACATTTTAAATGAGAATATGGATACTCGTAGGTTTCTCTCGGTTCAAAAAGAATTGAGGCTTCATTAGAACCGCATGAAGAAAAAAAAAATTGTTCAAAATCCCTGGTGGCTGCACCTGCACTTATCATTATGTGACCGGTGTAACAACTAATCTAATTGTAATACCGTTCCGAATTCAATATCATTGTTGTTATTGACCAACCTACTTGAATCAAACCAATACCGTAACAACGATTTCTTTCGAACTCCAATTTCTACCGTCTACCCTAACCAAATCCGATACGAGCCAACCAGAAACTCGGCCCGACCAAACCCGGAAACTACCAGTCTCCTCTACGTCCAAATCACGTAAATACGCGGGCCACTCCCTCCCTCCTGTTTCTGCATTCTTCCAATTTCCCTCCCTTCTTCCCCCATCCCTTTTTCCTTCTTCCCTAAAGCAAAATCCCAAACCCCATTTCCCTCCAAATCCCTAGCCATGCACGAGACCGAGCTCCACGATTTGTCCGACGACGCCGATTACGCTGCCTCTGTCGAGCAAGTAAGCCCCTGAATCTCTCTCCCTCCATCTTCCGTCTTATCTCTGTTTCAATTGTTCTTTCGAATTGAATGCTTCCCCTCCGAATTCGATCGGAGCTATGAATTGCGAGCACTGGAGTGTGGAGCATGCCTGGTCGCCATTAGCGATTGATTGAACTTGAATTGGTACTTGTTTAGGTTTTGTTTTCTATGGTTTGACTTGGGATTGGTGGATTGGTGATAGGCATCGGCGAGTGTCATGCTGACGAGAACCGAGAGCGGGAGTAGGAGTTTTCCCAGCGAGCCGGAAGGTGCTGAACTGATTTATTCGAAGGATAATGTCACGATTCACCCGACGCAGTTCGCTTCAGAGAGGATCAGTGGAAGGCTGAAGCTGGCTAAGCAAGGGGAGTCAGTGTTCATGGTAACGATTCCTTTTTCGTGGAAGTTTGTATTCATATTCGTTCTGCTTTGTACTTCGGTTTGACCGCGTGATTATAGAGCATTGTTTTTTGCTTCCTCGTGTTAGACATGGAGTCCATACAAAGGGCAGAGCTCCAATGCTAGGCTTTCTGAGAAAGGTTGGCTAGCATGTCCTTGTGAGTGCAATTAGTGATTCGTACGCTTGGCGCTGCTGTATAATTTGTTGCTTGGTTTACTTTTGTAGATAGGAACCTTTACACAATCAGGGCTGTGCCTTTCTCGGACGTGCGCTCAATTCGTCGACATACACCAACTCTTGGGTGGCAATACATAATTATTGTGATGTCTTCAGGTACGAGATGCACCTGCTTTCTAGCAAAGACTCTTTGATTTGTAGCGATTGTAGATTTGAAGATAAATGCCTTAAAGGAGTCATGCGCCAGTTTTATTCCTTCTGTAAGGTTATTAATTTGTGATTTCACTTTTTATGTCTGTTAGTTATAATTCTGTGTTGCTGCACATGTTATTCAGTTTTATGTGGCTCAAGGTGTAATGAAGCAACAGGTTGTAACTCTGTGCTCTCTGCGTTGGATTTGCATGTTGAGCAGGACTTGCATTTCCTCCTCTTTACTTCTACAATGGAGGAGTGAAGGAATTCTTTGCTACACTGAAGCAACATGTTTTGATTGTCAGGTCTGTGATTGATACACTGGAACTACATTTTGCTCTTAGGCACAAGTTGTTGGTAGGTAAATGTTGATGTGGTGAAAAGACTTCACGATGCATTCCGTCGCTTCATAACTTTCTGTTTATGAAGTACCGCTTACTTTTAATTTTGGGCTCCCATATTATGGAAATTTCTTCATCATGAGGGAAACGTATACGACCGTTGCTCTATAAAAGAATTCCAATATAACCGTTATGGTCAATTCGGGTCGGTTATTGCTTGATATACTTACCATCACAAGCAAATCAGTATTCATTTACTTACCATCACAAGCAAATCAGCGATTATAAATGACATTTTCCTGATTCTGTCGTGTGTTCGTTTTGTTTTCAGGTCGTTGGAAGACGCAAATGTATTTCTTGTGAACGATTTTCAGAATCCTCTTCAGGTCTGTTCCCACTGATTCATTCTATTGTTATTGAATCAAAACAATAACCATAGCCTGAATATCTGTTGTGAATTGTGATATATCTCCTTAGCAACTAATAGCTGCAAATGTTGTTTTGATAAGTTCATTTGAAGCTAGTTCTTTCATGTTTTTTTTATCTATTGTTACCTGTTTCTGTTGGTGTTGGAAATGTGCTTTTGGTCTTTTTGAAGGTAGAGTTTTTGAGTGTTTGCTTTTCTCTACTTTTCATTTATTGTTTTGTACTATGATTCATGATTTCCCCTCACCGCAGAGAACGTTGTCGTCCTTGGAGATGCCCGGGGCTGTTTCCATGGGAAGCGCACTGAGTATACCTGATTCGGGCAGTCCTTTGGCATCCTTAACAGATGGCGGTAAAAATAGTGCCGTTCTTTCTCAAAGCATTTTCAGGAACTGGCAGAAAGCTCAGGATCCTGGCCGTGATCTATCTATCAATGTCCTTGAAAAATTCTCTCTCGTGACAAAATTTGCTCGAGACACAACAACACAACTGTTCCGAGAAAATAGCAATGGTTTTGCTGCTCTTGATCCAAAAAATTATGGCATTCCTCGACCTCGGCTTGATGCCCCTTACCAGGAAGAGCAGGAAAAGAAGAAAGTTCCTGAAGAAATTCATGTACCTGCAGATCCTATAGAGGTAATATTTTGTCTTCGGGCCCACTTTCCTCTTATTCTATCAGCATTCTTTGGAAACCGGAATTTGTTTGACTGTGTGTTGAGAAACACAGTTGCAAATATCAACATATTCTTGTTTCAGAATCTACACTGGAATTATGCTTGCATCGGTGCATACAAATCATTGTATTTTATCTCTTGTCATCTCTTCTGCTGTTGTGCTTTCTTTATTGTGTGTTTTGCTAATTAGAGCAATCATCTTTGTCAATTCTGGCTTATTGAATAAATGTGTTCTCTCCAACTTATTTGGGCAGTTTGATAAGCTGGCACTTGTATGGGGGCAGCCGCGACAGTCTCCATTAGGGCCGATAGAGGTAATTGCTATTTCAACGAATTCTTGCTTAATTTTCCCTAGTTTGATCTACTTTGTGCTTTTCCAATTCAGTTTTTGTGCTTCCCTTCTATATTGAGTCCCCTCTGGTTTGGAAACTTTATGGAGTCTGATTTGTTAATGGCATTCATTTTTTCCATCAATTGTTGACATCCCCACTCTCATTTTTTGGTGTTAATTGGTATATATTTCTTTCATCTTGATCTGACACTGGTTCTGAAAAACTATTGCGAGACATCGCTTCTCATAATAGCTAATTAGCCCATAAAAGTTTTGCAGTCTCGTGGTGCAACCATCATCTTATCTTTGATTTGCATAGTCTACCAATGTATTTGTGCACATTGGACTTAATGCTGTGTGCTTCTGTTGCATAGTCCTGGATTTGTCACTATTATTAGTAATTGACTTTTGCCATGCTCAAGGTCGCAGCTAAAGATGACCTTCCTATCTAATCAGTTGAGGATAAAAGTGTGCGCATGTTATGTTAATATTCCCTCACTTTTGGTTGCCTTTTCAGTGGGCCTCTTTCTTGGACTCAGAAGGGCGAATAATGGATTCAAAAGCTTTAAGAAAGAGGGTATTTTATGGAGGAGTGGAGCACACAATACGGAACGAGGTCTATTCCTTTTGACATGTGATAATTCGTTTGTTACTTAGATAAAGATGGACTGCTGGCTTCAACTGATTTTTTCTTGAAATTCCTAATAATGACTTCAGGTTTGGGCATTTTTACTGGGATATCATGATTACGAATCAACTTATGCTGAGAGGGAGTATCTTAAGACGTCTAAGAGGACTGAGTATATGACGATAAAGCAACAGTGGCAGGTTAGTTTTGATTAGCTACTTAAGGTTCTACTTGGTTTTCATCCTTAAAACTATGGCTTAGACTATAGGAGGGCTCTACACTGTCATTGATGAGGCAGGTGGATCGGGGTAACTCGTGGGTTTGTTAGAACTTAAGATTTCTCAGCTTAAGGTTCAAGCTTCCAATCTGTTATCTGTGCCCTCATCTCTACTAAGGCCTTGGTATTATTATGTTTTTTTCTCCCTGCCCTCATCTTTTAATTACTTCAGAGGGTAGTATAATATAGATGTTGATATTCTTGCAAACTCCGTGCTTGATCACATATTTTCTCTAATGTTAATCTGATTAGACAATGTTGTGGCAAGCAAGCTTCTTTTGCTGGTTCTCTCTGGATGGTTAGGCTTGCAATTTCAGAGCTAGGGTGAACAGTAAAACATGTTGTCCAAGCAACAAAAGTTCTCCTTTTCTTTATGTCTAAGAGTGTGATTCTTTCCATCTGCAGAGTATCTCGCCTGAACAAGCCAAGAGATTTACTAAATTTAGGGAACGGAAAGGACTTATAGACAAAGATGTGGTACGCATGAATCTCTATACTGGTTGGAAAACTATGAATTCCCGTTTAACTGAATTTTATCTGAAGGATTTCTGTTCATTTTTCAAGGTGAGGACTGATAGGTCACTACCATTCTACGAAGGAGATAACAACCCGAATGTAAAAACATTACGTGATATTTTATTAACGTATTCATTCTATAACTTTGATCTTGGGTACTGTCAGGTATGCATTTCTTCCTCTTGCAATCCATTAGCTTTATATACCTTTTTTCCTTCCTTTCTTTTAGCTACTTTTGAAATCCCCCCTGCTGGCAGATGTTCCGAGCTTATTCAATTTCGGTAGTGTCACTTAGGCGGTATTTCTTTTTTTTTTCTCCAGGGTATGAGTGATCTGCTCTCTCCAATTTTATATGTGATGGAGGATGAATCCGAATCATTTTGGTGCTTCGTGGAATTGATGGAACGCCTTGGACCAAATTTCAACCGTGACCAAAGTGGCATCCACGCTCAACTGTTTGCTCTTTCTAAGGTGCCTCTCTTCCTCTCGTGAATAAATTTCGTTCTGGTTGACTACTCGGACTTCAAGCCACGAAGCCAGTGACAAGTACTAATGTTTCCAATATTCCTGTTGCAGTTGGTAGAATTGTTAGACGCCCCATTGCACGACTACTTCCAGCCAAGAGAGTGCTTAAATTACTTCTTCTGCTTCCGCTGGATCCTGATCCAGTTCAAGAGGTGAGTTCTTTCACAAGCTGTGTTATTTTGCTGGGGTCTGATATGCTGGTTATTATTGTCACTGACACCAAATCTCCTTGAAACCAGGGAGTTTGAGTATGAGCAAATAATGTTCCTATGGGAGGTGCTATGGACACGCCATCTCTCCGAGCATCTCCACCTGTACCTGTGCGTCGCAATCCTGAAGCGGTATCGTGACAAAATCATGGGAGAGCAGATGGATTTCGACACGCTGTTGAAGTTCATCAACGAGCTGAGTGGGCATATCGAACTGGATCCCTTTCTCAGGGACGCCGAGGCGCTCTGCATATATGCTGGCGAGAATGGTGCGGCCTCCATCCCACCAGGTACTCCCCCCTCGTTGCCCATCGAGAACGAGAATAGCTTGCTTTATTCCCAGGACGACGAGGTTCTGTAATCCAACCCAAACCAAATTGAGAACCGTGTTTTGCTTTCCCTTTGTTGGTTTCCTAGGGAAGTTGAATCTCTAGATCCATATCATTTCGTATATTTGCTGGTATTTTTACAGAGCAATTTACAGAATGTAATCGAAGCTCATCAGTTTTCATTTGAATTCCCTTGTGATTTACATCATTTGGCCGAAAGGTGCACGAAACTTGGGACGTGAACGCAAGTGACTTCTCAACTAACTGAAACAAGGTCCGGCGATTTACCTGACTTGTTTCGACTAGTTGAGAACTCAGCTATCGAACCCCATGATCCGAAAAACACACAAAGTAGAGCTTAATTATGCAGAGTGCTATGACCCCCACATTCTTTTGTTTCCTTCATTTTTCTGAAACAAATATATATACTGAGATTTCCTACAGGGTCACAAAGCAACAGCATCAGTTGCCAAAATCCCTCTATTTTCAGAGTGCTGTTTAGTTATTTACAGATCAGTTGATAATAGTAGGGCTGGGAAACGGTGCGGTCTGGTCCAGACCAGACCATATATACGGTCTACGGTCCAGACCGAGAGGCTAAAGTATAGACCATAGACCAGACCACAGACTATACGGTCTGGTCCAGACCACGCCTGTGCGGTCTGGTCCAGACCACGCCTGTGCGGTCTGGTTCGGTCTGGTCTGGTCCAGATAGACCACACTAAACGAAAAATGAATAATTTGTTTAGTCAATCACACAAAAAATTGAACCAATAACCAAGAAAAATCATTGTTATTTGCCTTAAAACATTATTCCTAATATGCATGAATAATTTTGATACTCTAAATCTTAGTACATAACAAAGATACAAAGTAAAAGCATCCCAGCTTGCACCATAATGTCATAAACATTAACATAATGTCATATGGAGACACGATTATCTCTACTCTGTGGTTAAATGTGGTTGTGAATGAAGGAGGGAAGAGATTCACAAAATTAAGGTTGAGACTTGGGTGTGGTTGTGGGAGTTTGGAGAGTGGTCGAATGGGCTGTTAACACGTATTGAGAAGTCAGTTGGATCAACGGTTTGGTCCGGTAAACCGCAGTCTAGACCAGACCAGACCAAGAGATCAAATCATAAAATAATACAGACCATGGACCAGACCAGACCATACTTCACGGTCTACGGTCCGGACCAAACTGTGCGGTACGGTTTGGACCACGGTTTTTCTAACGGTCTGGTCTATTTTCCCTGCCCTAGATAATAGGGACGCCCTTGCTCTCAATTCGTCAAGTCTTATGGGCCTTGACTGCATGATAACAAACTTGAAGAATCAAATAAAAAAGCCCAACATACTCGCGCCTTTCAGCCCAAATGTAATTCTGGCTTAGTGGGTCACTAACATGTCCAAAACGGGTCCAGAAAATGAAGCGAAAAACGGGAAAAAATGGAGATGCAGGGGATCGAACCCTGTACCTCCCGCATGCAAAGCGGGCGCTCTACCATTTGAGCTACATCCCCAATGTTGAAATACGATTTCTTAGTTATCTATTTGAATAATATGTATTTTCGCCAAGCTGAGTGGAAAACCAGAAGACAGAAAAGAAAGACAGTTAATGTGCCTTTCTAGCTTCTGTCAACTTCTGGAGAAGCAGGAGGTCGACACACAAGTATGCAATCTCAGCTTCTCTTAATTCATAGCCAAACTAAGCTGGAAAGTGTGCCTTACAGCGTACATAATAAGTAGTACTGCGGACCCAAACCAAATCCATCATTCATGGAGAGGAAAAGCCAAAACGGAAGATCCGCCAATTTAGAGCAAGCAAGCACCTAACCCTACGTTACTGCTCAACTTGAAAGCTCTTGTTCCCTCCCTCAAAGTAGATATCTTGATACAGAGGCGGAGTTACGTGTAGTTTAGTCTAGTCTATGACGAACCGTAGGTACCTTTTTAATATTTGTTCGATGAAAGGTTATAACTATCAAAAATAAGTTGGTGTTGATAAATCGAATTGTTGGAAAATGTTGAATAATGAATATTATATCACATACTAATAGTGAATTAGTGATAGCAATGGGGTAGGGGCGTGTACCTCAATACCCATATCCGCGTAGATACTAGGCGGGTCAGTCCATTCTTATATGTTATTTGAAACAAAGAACGTTGATGTCAACTCTTACAAGAAAACACTTTCATACATGAATGAGAAATATAGTAGAAGGAATAATTTGTCATAAACCAGTTGGTCCCAATAACTCGAGTTGTTGGGAGAAGGTTATGCTCGATCTTATACAGGCCCGTGTATGGTCCTTACACGCCCCCTCAAACGAAAGCCGACTCATGGGCTTGAAGTTTGCACAGGCCCGCCATACCATGTGCTTGAAAAACAACGGTTAATATTGGGGGTCGTGAGGACTTGAACACATGACCTCACGGACAACCAGCTCTGATACCATGTCATAAACCAGTTGGTCCCAATAACTCGAGTTGTTGGGAGAAGGTTATGCTGGATCTTATAAAGACCTGTGTATGGTGCTTAACCACTTCCTTACATAATTGAGTCTAAATATTTGAAAACATAGTCCGAATATTTCTTTGGGATGAAGTACATGTTATTGATGCAAATCATCATAGAACGGAGATGGATCGGCCAGAGCAGGTCGGAAGCGTTGCCCATATATCCGTCCCGCACTACTACGAATCGGGTAATAACCACCCCATATAAATCGAAGCAGGTCGAATCACGTGAGTCAGGTCGAGAATTGCCATCACTACATAATAATAACGATAACATGGGTAATTTTTATTAGTTTGAAAGAAGCTCACTCTGCAGAAGGGTCGCAGAAGTTATGGGAGTCTCTTTCACAGTTAAAGGTCGGCCATGGCTAGCAAGTGGAGATGATGAGAGAGACCAGATCTGACAGAAAGGATTGAAAATGGTCCAGTTTTGCTCGTTCTAATATTGCAGGTAATTGGCCAACCAAACAATGCCCCAAAACTAGGGTTGTAGACCCATTAATTCCTCTGGGCACATTTCTCTGCCTGTTCCTATCTGTAGTGTGTATATATTTGATCTATCTCTTCAGTCTTTTCTCTTCCCCCACGGTCCTTCTCGCCCACAGACGCCATTAATGCCACTTGCAATTACATCTATATGAGGATTGAAGTTAATTTGGAGGGGTTGTATGGCAATGGATAGCAGATAGGCTTTGATACAATTGACATCACTCAGTATGAATATTGGGTTGGATCCAAACAGGCAGAATCCGCACTGGTATCGGGTATTCGGTATTATGAGTCTATTTCAGATCCAAACTCAAAAAATTGGTGTACGAATATGCCCTAAAAGTTATACTACCGAAAACAGATTTGATTTCGGAATAAATTGGGTTTCTATCATACCCAACATTTGGGGTTTTTTTTTTTTGTCATCTCTAGCTGACCATACTTTGTGAGGTTAAAACCATGCATACCCTAATATCGATGGTCACCAGGTGTAAAAGACGAATATACAATAGACAACCAGCAGGTTGGTTGTTTAAAACTCTTGTAATATTAACTCAAGTAATTGGAAGATATTTAGAATTGGATTTTATATCATTCTTTTTTTTTTTATACTCAATCAAACTCAAGTAATATAACATGCTTATTAACTCAATAGTAGTTATCAATTGCCTTGTCTAATCAAAACATGTTGTTTCGACCATGTCAAGAACTAACTTGTTACAATAACCGAAATGGTTAGGTAAATATCATACAATACCTCTCATACCATTCTCTCATCACCGTTTCTCTCACTTCTGCCGGTTGAAGATTTGATGGGCGGCAAACGTAGTGCAAAGCAAAGGCCCATGCATGCTTTTTGGACCTTGGTAGTTGGTCCCTTTTCTTATCAACTTCCTTTTTTTCCATTTCGGGGACCAAACAATATGGAAAAGCCGTAGCTGGAGTGCTTCACTAATTTGATGATAAAAATATTGGAGACAAGCTAGCTTTGGAAAAGACCTAGAGAGAGAGAAAGAAAGAGAGAGCTAGGGATTCATTTGATTGAGTGGAGAACAGAGGTTGCGGAAAGTGGGAAATCTAAGGCATATATGTAATTGGCGCAAATGGTAAGTATGCTTTTGCTTTCTTGTTGGAGGGTAGAGGGGATGATGATGATCATATGGACTGTTTGGGTCTAATATGGAAATGAATTTGAAAAAACAAAAATGTGAGAGGTGAAAGGAGAGAAGTTAAGATTGAAAGTGTGTAGTATGGGCTCGAGAGACAAAAGTAGAATGTCCAATCTCATAGAATCCCACGTTTGTTGGAAACAAATGATTTGTTGTTCTTTTCAAGAAAAAAAGGAAAAGGGTTCTGTCATTTTGATTTGGGCAAAATACACTTCCGTAGCCATAATTATTCGCGTTGTGACAACAATAGCCACATTTTGAAAAATACACAGATATAGCCATTCCGTTCAAAACTTTAACGGAAAGCTGACTAGACAAACGTTTTATAGTTACGTGGCGGCTTTTCATCAAACCTACTGCCAGGTGGAAATGTAAAATTTTTATTGTAATTACATGAGAAACAAAATTTAAATAAAAAAGGAAATAAAAAAGTTCGTCACTCTTCTTCGTCTTCCTTTTATTGTTACGTGGCGCCTTTTCATCAAACCTACTGCCAGGTGGAAATGTTAAATTTTTATTGTAATTACATGAGAAACAAAATTTAAATAAAAAAGGAAATAAAAAAGTTCGTCACTCTTCTTCGTCTTCCGTTTGTCTTCCATCTACCCTCCCATAAACTTTGACCACAACTCTGATTCTTCGATCTACCACAAATTTTACTTCGGCGAGTGCACAGGAATTGGGGAAACAATACTAATCGGAACAAAAGTTCGATTACGAAGCCAGAACCCGTTGATGAAGAAGCAAAAACAGAGGAATCCTGTTGTTGCTCTTGCTGCGAAGAAATACGGCGTTGTTGCCGGTAAAGAAACTGCCGGTTTTGGGACTCCCGCTCAAGACCTCGAAGGCGCATGCCGGAACTGCGACGAGCTCACCAGATCTGCGCATGCCGAAACTGCCGCCAAATCTAGTCTCCTCTTGATCGGTTGTTTGTCAGATGAAATGGCGACGACAACTTCACAGAATCAACAACGTTGGAGAGAAACAAAGGCTCGAACCTGTTGTCAGCGGCAGTAAATGGTCCCGCCGGCGATTAGGGCTCATCAACTTCTCGATCTAGGATTGTTCAAGAAGGACGTCCGCAATCGTCTTTCTCATCCAAGATTCCCTTCCCAACCATGACAACCGGTGAAGAGAGTGACAAAGGTTTGTAAAAAAAAAAAGAGTGACAAAGGGAATTTGTTTAATTAAAATTTGAAGGGGGGT